GAATGACTGCAAAACTAGTTCTCAGAATAGTTCTTAAAAAAAGATCTATATACTTCCATACAGTTCTACTTGCTTTTTAACGCCGACACACATGAAATTTCTCAAATTGGCAAGCTCACTATTTGAAAAAACAAGCTGAAAAGATCAAGTCACATTCCATTTACTTCTGATTTTACTGCTCAGCATCGCAAATGAATACAAATTATGCACAAAGTATAAAAAAATCCTATGAACTATCTGGCAAAACTAAAATATCAGCTAAAGGCAAAACTAAAATATCAGCTAAAAGCAGACCAATTATAAGTAAAAATTATTCACTGTAGAGTCAGGATACATTAAATTCTACCATTTCGCCCCCCTTAGGAGACGGTTTAACCTTTACATTTACCTTCTGATTTTTTAATTTAAAATTCAAATAAATCCAATAAATCGGCTTTATTGGTTTGATCACACAGAACAGCCCAGTTTACAGTAATACTGATTCTGCAGCAGTTTATAATGTTTTTACAAGATCAGTTTTCCTCACTATTTCTACCTTTCCTTCTCCTTTCCTTAGGCACACAACACAAGAATTTTCAAGAGTTTATTGGTGCTGATAACACCAAGGTCGTGGGTTCGATTCCCACTGGGTCCCCATGTGTTGCCTGATCTAGTTGAGAGGCGTCCCTGCCCATGACAGGGAGGTTGGATTAAATGATCTCTAAGGTCCCTCCCAGCCTAGGCCAGTCTATGATTCTATGATTAGCAAACCTCTCGGATAATCAGATGATACATCCAAAATGTTGCTATCGGACTCCCTCATGGATGCTTCTTCTGCTCCTTTTTCTTCAGTTTTCAATTCTGACTCAGCAACCTCCACATCCAGGTTGTTGCTTTTCACTTCTCCAGAGTCAACCACACCATCTTAACAAAATCAAACAAATAAAAGAACATTAAAAGCGTTGTTGATACATTGCTAATTTGTTTCAAACAATTCAGGGCTTCTAACACCTGTAAGTGTGAAGGAAAAAAACCTCCACAAACAAAACAACGGTACATTGGAGAATAATTCAAGATTAATTATCACTTGTCCTTGGAAATCACTGTGAAATAACGCTGTCCTGGACAGCAGAAACTATCTGCCCATATGTGTCACGAGATGTTTATCGTTTACAAAAAAATATTTACATGTTCATTTCTGGTGAAATGCTGTTTGCAAGACAAAGCAAGCAAGGAGGAAGTCCAAATACTCATAACTATATACTAGCTGCTACAAAAAAATTGAAACAGAAGTTTATAACTGCTTATGACTAGCTGAGCAATCTAAAAAAAAGGAGGGGAGTAAGGAAGGAATTTGCTGTCACTTGGGCCATGAGGAGGGTTTAAGTGCTGGTGCCATCAACATTTGCAAATGAAAGACTTCTCTGGCCTAGCAGAGCCTGGCTTCCAGAAGAATTTCAAAAAGATTTAAGAGGTTTGGATACCAACACGACAGAAAAACAGTCAGTGGTTGACTTCGGGGGAGGTGAAGGAGACCATTTCATTCACATTTTGACTATTCCACATTGTGTCGGTGCAGACATGCACTCTACCCCAGCGGGGCTGGGCTGTGACTACAGTCTCAGCCAACACCGAGCATAAAAACTGCAGCGAGCTGGGGCGCTCTTGGCACTTTCTGAACCTGTGCCCTGGAGCAGTGACTTCAGGCAACCTGGTACCTTCTTGTTCGGCATTTACAAAGCTTTCAAAGTAGAGTGAGCGGGCACTTCCTAACCCCACCTGAAACTCCTCTGGCCTGGACCACAGCTCACATTCTGAAAAGTACCAAGATAACCTGACAAGAATTACAACCGCAATGAAAAAAAAGCACTGACCAGAGTGAATCATCTTGCGCCTCTGTAAATATAGAAGCTAAGTGAGGCCCCTGCAAGCTCCCAGGACATCAGCAGGCTGTGTCCTGACATATTTCCTAAGCTGGGAGACCACTGAGGGCAGATTTTCATGAGGTTCAAAGTAGACTTTGTGAGGTAATTTGGATTGTCTGCTGATAGATGCCAACAAAAAGAAGGGTTCAGAGATCGCCCACTGGTAAATGCTGACAAAGAGAAGAGGGAGCAACTCAATATAAATATATTTTGTGAGGTTTCAAAAATCATTGGTTACCAAAAGTTTACTATAATCTGCAGAGAAAGAAACATCCTAACCACCAGCTAACCTTTCTGTGTGTCTAAGTGTATACGCGATGTGATTCGGGTAACTTTGTTGAATCTGAACTAAGTCATCAAGTCAATTATAATGGATTGTTGATCACTGACTGATTAGGTATTGCTACAAAATCACAGAATGCAATCTTACGGTTTAGCATAATAGTGTTAATGAAGTTTAAATTGCTGCTCCCTCAAGTTATATGGGACTCGTAATAGCATGTTCAATCAGCACCTCTGAAATCTCTGTACCTGACTCCTTTAGACATAAACCACTGACCAAGCCTGGGACTGCCTTTGGATCCAGCCGCACCCAGACTCACAGAATCAGAATCACAGAATTGCTGAAGCTGGCTCCTCTCTGAGAAAGAGTTTAGAGAGCAAGGGGGCCTGTTCTGAACCTGGGGACTCAAAGGGAGAGTCTTCCTTTCCCTTTTCATTGCCCATCTCTGGGCAAATTATTCCAGACCAATTCTAACTCAATTTTCCTTTGCATGTTTCTTCCATGTAGTAACTGCAGAGTGAACCTTGTCCTTGAACTGTGTTAGGTCACACTTCTACAAACTGATATTAAAAACCATTTCTGTTAATATTTATGACAGTGGTTCTTTAAGTGACCTAAATATCTCCTCTGTGACACCATCTACTCCTGGCCAATACTAAAGACAAAGTAAGGGCTGGAAGGATCCTTCAGCATTTCCTACAATTCCCTTGGGGTTTTCTGTTTGCTTGCTTTTAAACATTGCAGCTGGAAATGAGTCTTTGCTAATATAAAAAAAAAAAACAGAAAGAGGAAATGAAAGAAATACTTCAAGAAAGGGGTTAGAGATATCTTTTAGAAAGACAGCATAGGGTAGAATTACTCTACCTACCATTAAAGATATCAAGACCAGCATTGCTGTGTTTCTCACAGATCCATTTTTAAGCTGAAAACTCATCTGAGACTTTTATTTCCTGCCTACTTCTCAATCAAAATTTGCAAGATGCCTGACGATACTTTCTGCACAGTTTATTAATAGAGAGACAGAAAGAAAACTAAGAAGTAAAAGGATTTTTAGTAAGGAATGTGTAAAAACAATGACTGCATGTGCTGTGAGAAAAACTGATAATACTGTTACAAAAAGGGATAGCGAGAGCACAGCATTGGCCGACATCCACCAGAGTTGGACTGGTAGCATCTTCGGAACACATGTACAGGTTAAAATGGTTGAAAAAAAATAGCATGCATATATATACATATAGTTTACATATACATCTACATGAAGAGAGGTGAATTTTCACACTAAATGAGCAAGAAGAGCAGGCTGCCCCCAAAGCAAGAATGCAGGATCTTTCAAGTGCCCGTCAGGAACCAATGATTATGCACAAACATAACAATGCTTAAAAGAGCTTAAATTATCTATTTTTTTTAGAAAAAACAGAATATTCAGTTCACTTAAAGCCTAAGACTGCAACAGTAAATGACTGGCATGAATGCCACATTTAGTGGTGCTGGAAAACTGGCACAACCAGTTTAAACACATGTGGCAGAAAATACTGAGGAGGAAAAGTATGGGATAGAGAAGGCATGGCACACACAGCATCCTCGTTGGTTGCGGAACAGTGATTTCACTTAAATCGCTTGTCCAGAGAATCCCCAATTTAAGATCCTACCTGCTGCAGAATGAGTGGAATGCAGCTCATTCAGAATAGGAAAGCAGCAATACACTTTCCTGCAGTAGAATAATTTGACAAAGTTTGATGGAATTTAACAAAGTTAACAGAGATTTTTCAAGGTTCAGTTTGATGACAAGGTTCGTTCTATTACTTACTAGAAAGAAAAATCAATTTGAGATTGGCCTAGGATAATTTAGTAGACAGAGAATGAAAGGGGTAAAAGAAGCCCTCCCATTAAGTCACCTGGTTGAGAACAGACCCCGTTGCTCTCCAAACTCTTCTAAGAGAAGTCTAGGTGTAGCTAGAACCAACTCTAGTCCCAGATTTGGTCACGGGTTTAGGACTACAAGAATTTGGGTACAGGGATTTCAGTGGTAGTGATTTAACATGGCATCGTAGGTCTCATAACTTTTAGTTAAAATTCCTTAAAACTGTTATGATGAATCATAAGACAAGGCTGCATGATTTTAAAGCAATTCTTAATCAGTCAATAATCAACAACTGGTCATAATCAGTGCAGTGATTCAGATAAAGATTCAACCAAGTTTTCTAAGCAAATCACATATAGATGTACAAATACACATATAGAGAGGTTAGCCTATACGTAGGCTGTTTCCTTTTCTGCAGATTACAGCAAATTTAGGTACCCAGTGATTGAAATCTAGTCAGAGTGAATTACTCACATCTCTGTTCGCTGGCTTTTACAAGCAAGAGTGTTTTTTCTCTTTGTTGGTCTTTCCAGACGGACAGTTTTTTCCTTCAGCAGGCTTTACCAGTGGACAGTGAGAGCCAGGCCTGAGCAG